TTTCAGGAATCATTGGAATGGATGAGTGATGGTTAGGGGAGAATAGAAGAGAATAAAAATTATCTATGGAATATTAGTGCCCCAACATTTGCGTAAGTGATCCAAGGAAACCACAGAACAACTTGGACCAAGGCAGACGGGCCCGGAATCGAACCAGCGTCATCCCGAATGCTCCATAAAACTAGAACATCCCACATCTTTTACTATTTGTGAACAGTAATCTAACCTAGGTCTACCTCTACCCCTGTTAACTTCTGTTTCTGCTTCTAATACGCCTCTAATTAGCTCTTCATGCCTAAGAAGGTGTTCTACCAAGCCATCTTATCTATTTCTTATTGACTCCTGTAGCTTCTCTGTTCTTTTACTCGTTCTAATACCTCGTCATTTCTAACCTCTTTTGTCCACGGTACCTATCCTTGTAACACCAGGTTTCTAACGTTTTTGATTTTTTCTTTTTTTGGGCGCCCACCGTCCACGTTTCGCAATCATAGAGAGCCTTGCTCCAGACATACATCTTTTTCGAATCTGAAAAATGGAGTGTCTGCACTTTTCTCCTTTGAATGGGATGTTTTACTACTGCCTCCAACGCACGATTTCATCCCGCAGATTACTAAAATCAACTCACAACGACAAATACGACCCTATTTCAAAATCGTCTTTTATCCTATATTCTGAATTTTTCTCATTTGTTTTTCATGACATACTTCTAATACATCTCAGCATGTACTTGATACGGTATTTTCTTTCAATTCTTCAAACTGTCTTATGATGTAAAATTTTTCATTTTCATTTTCCTGATGTTTTCGAATTTTGTGAAGAGCTGTATGTCTGTCGTCCTGTACGTACGCATATGTACGAAGAAAACATACGTATACGTGGTAGATCTTCACAGGAGGTTTATTGACTGAGAAGATTTTACGCCTGATCCACTGGCGCCAGAATACTGGCCGAACTTGTTTGTTCTCATAGTAGGAATGCTGCACAAAATGCACAAAAATACAACACACAATCAGCGTGAGTACACCGTGTCGTGGACAAACAGCAAGTGCAAAAATAAAGTGCAAACGCAAAGGCAGTGGTCAAGTTCGATTTTAAATTAATTATTTACATATACGTACGTATGATATTATATGAATCGTTAATTGACAAATGTCGCGCTCTTAATTATTATTATTATCGTGAAGTTTCTGCAAGGTATAAATTGCTCGTCGTTCTTTTTACGAAACGTGAAAGAGAAAAAGTGGTAAGAAGACGTTGTTGTTTCATCCCTTCTTCGTAAAAGGCGGACTAAATTTAAAATTTGCTTTTGTATAATTACGTGAGACGTCCATTTGTGTAATCGGACAGGATAGCAATTTGAGTCAAATGGTTCTAACTAGAATTCTGACAATTTTAATATTCCTAATGGAATCGACCGCCGCGCCGTATCCTGGGAATTACGAGCTATAAGAGGCCGAAGTGTTAGTGGTATTACAATAATCGGTTAGGAGTCCTTCAAGCAAAGAGTAAATGTGTTTATTAATTAACTATTACGACCTTAACCTACACATACACTTACACATCCAGTACCTTCTACAATACTTGATTTAATATACACAATATATGAAATAGGAAATTTATAATTACCTAATTTTCATCAAAAAGAATATTTTTGTGAGCCCTTGACTTAAACAATCAGATAATACTGCGTGGTTTCATTTAAATTGGTTTATTGTATTTGTATTTTTTTTATCTACTTTTTTATCTTTCCTTCAATAAAAAGAAGCACTTCTATTCTTGCAAACGGTTAATTTAGAAATTTGAAAAAGGTTAAAGGTGTATGTTTGGAACGTGATGCTGTACGGGTGCGAAACATGGACGGTGGGCGCGGCGGAAGAGAAATCGTTAGAAGTGTTGGAAATGTGGTGTTACAGGTGAATGATGAGGGTGCCGTGGCTAGACAGGGTTAGAAATGAAGAGATATTAGAAAGAATAGGAGAACAGAGGACTCTACAGAAGTCAATAAGAAATAGGCGAGATAGGTTGGTAGGACACCTTCTCAGCCATGAAGGTCTAGTCAGAGACATATTAGAGGCAGAAACGGGAGTTAGGAGAGGTAGAGGCAGACCTAGATTAGATTACTGTTAGCAAATAGTGAAGGATGTGTGCTGTTCTAGTTTTAGGGAAATGCGAAGATTAGCTCAGGATAGGAAAGGCTAGAGTAGGAGGACTAACGACCTTATGATGATGATGATTGTATTTGTCTGTCGAACTGGTCCACAATTGTTTGATTAGGCATTTCGACAGCATCTTCACTGGTGACTTGACTAAAGGTACAACTAAATCGTAACTAATCTGATCAAACCGCGACAATCTGGTAAGGTTTAGACTGGGAAACCCCATCAGTATCTAGCACGAAGAAAGTCCTAAAACTAGTTGTAAATCAATTTGGAACTATTCGCCATTATTGTTCAGTTAGGTTGAAAGTTTGCATTCATGTTTAATGATAGGTAGTAATATATAATAAAAAATAAAACCAGTAAAAAAAAAAAGGGGATTTTTTTGAAAATGTACTAAAAAGAAGTCACTTTAAATTCGGGAAAGCTTTTAAGAAAAACGAATTTAATTAAGGATGCAGAAGTATAGTATCTACTAACGACGAAAACAATATTATTTCATATAATTTTGATTATTTGTCAATTATTTATGTATTTGTTATTAATTTGTTCTTAATTTGCCACTGGAAAATTATTGTAAGAGACTCCAAAGCGATAAATGAGGTGTTGTTGTGTTAAATGGTCTCCAAAAATACTATTGTAAATTTAGAGTGCAATTCCTTCAACCCTCTTAAAATAATAAAATTCCTTTTCGGTGTTAAAACGTTTCCCTTTTTGTTTTAACTTTCCCGCAGTATACATTTCTTAAACTGCCTAAACTTAATATCCATATTCAAAGTTTATTATCCTATTGTTCTTGACACTTCATTTAAACCGGAGTTAAGTGCTTTATTATGTAATAAACATTAAATTTTATCAAATAAATAAATAAGTCACATCCTAACGTTGAAATTAAAAACTGTCCTGATTCTGCCTGTTTATCTTCAATTCCCCCTTTTACAATGGCGAACGAGAACCCTGTCCAAAGGATTACCGTTTATCTTTATGGTTAAAATTCGACTATGACGTGTAATGCTGTATAATCTATCTGATAGAAAAAAGTGTAAATACATTTTTTTGATTCAAAATGCTGGGAGCAGGGTGTTTTACAGTTTTAATTAAGTTAAAGTCTGCACATTCTTCATTGAAATCTGAAATGTAATAGAAATGATAAAATGAAGATTTTAGCTTAACTTTATTGTACTGGACGATTGTTTCAACACTGTGACATAAAACGGTACAGGTAAATAAATTATTATTACTTAATTATAGCATATTTTTACGCGATACCATCTAGTTACAGGTAGCTTTAAATAAAGTGGAAACGGTATTGCAAAACAGTATTGCATGAAAATAAATAAAAGTAAAACAAAAATACTGGTATAAAAAGGAAGAAAAAGTAGGACAAGAGCGAATATAAAGATAGGAGACGAAAGATTAGAAGAAGTGGCTGATTTTAGGTATCTAGGAAGTCAGGTAAGTCAGGACAGAAGGAGTAGTAAGGATGCAAAGCAGAAAATAGCGCAGGGTCGAGTCGCCCTCAATAAAAAGAAGTCACTTCTATGCGCGCGAACGATAATTCGAAAAAGATTCTTTGGAGCGCGGCGGTGTACGAGTGCGAAACATGGACGGTGGGCGCGGCGGAAAAGAAGAAGTCGGAAGTGTTCGAAATGTTGTGTTACCAGCAAATGATGAGGATACCGTGTATGGAAAAAGTTAGAAATGAAGAAGTGTTGTAAAGAATAAGAAAACAGATGACTCTAAGGAAGTCAAAATAGGCGGGATAGGTTGGTAGGAACACTCTCTCAGGGATGAAGGTTTTGTCAGAGACATATTATAGGCAGAAGGTGGAGTTAAGACAAGTAGAGGTAGACCTAGATTAGATTATTGTTTGCGAGTAGTTAAGGATGTGGGATGTTCTAGTTTTAGGGAACATCATTTATTCAATTTATCAATATAATACCTAGTAATACATAACGGTAATAATAGTAATATATGTAATATACAGTTGAGGAAAAAAAAATCGCCCCCACAGAAAATATAAGTAA